TTAGAGTGGGGAGAGTCCTTCGGCAGTCGATTCACTTAGGAACCCACCCTCCTTAGGTGCAGCTATTTCCCAAGTTGCCAAAAACCCGTTGCTAACATGCGTGTAGCTACGGATGATTAATCTTTCGTCAAAATCAGCTTCGCACACAACGTACTTATTTTCCAGTGGTTTCTCAGCGCGAGGAATCGCACTCTCCCAGGCCTTGCGCCGTTCATCGACGGCGGAAGCAGAGAAGAGAGGCGCTTTCTTCTCTTGTTTGCGTGCCGAAACATATACCGCATTGCATCCAGATGCAAAACAGTGTCTTTGATGTTTACCCATCACTGTGGCATGATCACATTGGCACGCATTGGTCCTGAACAAGTTCAAATAGGCAAATCACAGACTTTGAAATATTCGAGCACACGAGCAAGCGACCAAAAGTGCCGCGCGGGCGGCTGGCGAGCGCTCTCGACTGATCACGGTGGCGACTTGCGCGCCGCTCCACGGCGAACTGAAACACCAGCCCGCCTCACTCCAAGGCGTGGCCGGGACGATGCTGGCAGCTGACACCTCGCCTTCTAGCCAAGGACTCTGGTTCTACCCACGGACCTTCCTCCGTGGGTTCTACCCATCATTCCCATGCTGGTTGAAGCGCCGTGCGTTGCAGCTCCCATAGATACTAGCGCCAGAGTTCCCTCTAGTAAGTATTGTAAGAAACTCTATGCTTCCAGGTCCACCATACTTCAGTTTTGAGCAAGCGCCGCGCAGTAGCGCTCGCGACCGACACTATTATCACCAAGAAGGTTAGAAAAAAAGAAAAGGAGGTTAGAGAACTTTTCTCTAACTTCCTTGATTATCACGGCGTTTTTCACTTGTGGCCCCTAGGGGCGCGTTAGTCGAGAGTTATTTGAGATATCCAATTATACAGGACTATTTTGGAGGCTATGCAAAATGTAGAGTTGTTGCACCTTGCGCCACAAGTGACGCTAAAAACCGACAGTAATCGAAAATGGAAGCAGAGAAAGGGTGTGGCAGCTGTTTTTGTTCTCACGCGGCAGGCGTCTAAATAGAGGAGGCGTTGCCCAGAACAACGCTTTGTCACGTGACATAACAATTGCTTGAACGCACGGAGGAAGGAAAAGCCTTCCTCCGTGCTCGGAGGCAACTGTGAGAGTATTGTTGTGTTCGCAGAGGGCGGCCATCGGATATGCTCGCCTTCGTACCGAAAGAGGAAGGTAAAATCAGAGGGTATAGCAGCGCGTTCGCGGCTCACGTTCTAGGCATAATTTTTTTTTTTAGAAGGCGTTGCCCAGAGCATAGCCTCCTAGATTTTTTTTTTTTTTTTTGCCTGCCGGATTATCAGCAGTCACTTGAAAAGCGGCCGCCGTCGGAACTTTGGTGATGGCGCCACCTAAGCAGGATTGTCTTCAAATAAGTTTTTACGTTTTTGGGGCTTATATTCTACAAAAACGACGTAAAAAAGTTAAAAAAGGCATAAACGTAATTGTAAATAACCCTACGTAAGTGACGCCATCATTCACAAGCAACTCCTTCAATACAAGGCATAACTGTTGTATTCTGGGTTTTCGGTTTTGAAATGACATGTGAGGATGCCAGGGGGCGCCGCTCTGGCTTCTAGGATTTCAAGGCGACTGTAAGTAGGATTTCAAGGCGGCCCTCAGTCCCCAGCAGCTGCGAAGCAACTGACCATGGTGGCGGTCAGATCTGCAACGCAGCAGAGGGTGCTAAGAATCTCTGGATCCGGACAGGCCGCCATTGGAACCTGAACTTGGCAACGTTTAACGCTAGAACCTTATCTAGTGAGGGAAGTCTAGCTGTACTATTCGAGGAGCTAGAGGTTGTTAAATGGGATATAATAGGGCTCAGTGAGGTTAGGAGGACAGATGAGGCCTATACGGTGCTACAGAATGGGCACGTCCTTTGCTACAGGGGCTTAGCAGACAGAAGAGAACTGAGAGTGGGGTTCCTAATTCACAGAAACATAGCTGGCAACATAGAGGAATACTATAGCGTTAATGAAAGGGTGGTAGGTATCGTAATTAAACTGAATAAAAAATACAAGATGAAAATAGTTCAGGCTTACGCGCCTACATCCAGCCATGATGACGCTTCAGTTGAAAGCTTCTATGAAGACGTGGAATCGGCAATGAGTAAGGTAAAAACACAGTATACTATAGTGATGGGCGACTTTAATGCAAAGGTAGGGAAGAAGCAGGCTGGAGACCAGGCAGTAGGAGATTATAGCATCGGTACTAGAAACGCCAGAGGAGAGTTACTAGTAGAATTCGCAGAACGCAATAATATACGGATTTTGAATACCTTCTACCGAAAACGAGAAAACCGCAAGTGGACATGGAGGAGCCCTAATGGCGAAAATAAGAACGAAATAGACTTTATAATGAGTGCACACCCTGGAATCGTGCAGGATATGGAAGTGATTGGCAAGGTACGATGCAGTGACCATAGAATGGTACGGTCTCGAATTCGCCTAGACTTGAAGAAGGAACGACAGAAACTGATACGCAAGAAGCCAATCAATCAGCTAGCACTGAGAGGGAAAGTACAGGAATTCAGAGTGTCACTGCAGAACAGGTACTCGGCTCTTAGTGAGGAAACCAACCTTAGCGTAGATACAATGAATGATAATCTGACGAGTATCATTACGGAGTGTGCAGTGGAAGTTGGAGGCAGGGTAGTAAGACAGGACACTGGCAAGCTTTCCCAGGAAACGAAGAACCTAATTAAGAAGCGTCAAATCATGAAAGTGTCAAGTACAACAGACAAAATAGAACTGGCAGAGCTTTCGAAGTTGATTAATAGACGTAAGGTATGCGATGTAAGAAGGTATAACATGGAGAGAATTGAACACGCTCTGAAAAACGGAGGAAGTGTCAAAGCATTGAAGAGAAAACTTGGGATAGGCAAAAGTCGGATGTATGCCCTAAGGGACAAAGAAGGCAAAATAACTACCAATATGGATAGGATAGTTAAAATAGCGGAGGAGTTTTACAGAGATCTGTACAGTAGCCGAGACAACCACGACTTTAATACTATAAGAACTAGCAGTAACCCAGATTACACCCCACCAGTAATGATAGAAGAAGTCAGAAGAGCTTTGGAGAGCATGCATGCAAAGAGGCAAAGCTGCTGGTGAGGATCAGGTAACATCAGATCTGCTGAAAGATGGAGGACAGATTGTGTTAGAAAAACTAGCCACCCTGTTTACGAGGTGTCTCCTGACGGGAAGAGTACCAGAGTCTTGGAAGAACGCTAACATCATCTTAATACATAAGAAAGGAGATGACAAGGACTTGAAGAATTACAGGCCGATCAGCTTGCTCTCTGTAGTATACAAGCTATTCGCAAAGGTAATTGCTAACAGAGTAAAGAAAACATTAGAATTCAATCAACCAAAGGAACAAGCAGGATTTCGAACAGGCTACTCAACAATTGACCACATTCATACTATCAATCAGGTAATAGAGAAATGCTCAGAGTATAACCAACCACTCTACATAGCCTTCATAGATTACGAGAAAGCGTTTGATTCAGTAGAAATATCAGCCGTCATACAAACACTGCGGAATCAGGGCGTAGATAAAGTATATAAACATTCTGGAAGAAATATACAGGGGATCAACTGCTACCATAGTGCTTCATAAAGAAAGCAACAGAATACCAGTCAAGAAGGGTGTAAGGCAGGGGGACACAATTTCCCCAATGCCATTTACAGCGTGCTTACAGGAGGTTTTCAGAAGCCTAGAATGGGAACAGTTAGGGATAAGAGTCAATGGAGAATACCTTAGTAACCTGCGCTTCGCCGATGACATTGCATTGCTGAGTAACTCAGGGGACGAATTGCAACTCATGATTACGGAGTTAGACAAGGAGAGCAGAAAGGTGGATCTTAAAATTAATCTGCAGAAAACGAAAGTAATGTACAACAACCTCGGCAAGGAGCAGCGCTTCGAGATAGGTAATAGTGCACTTGAAGTTGTAAAAGACTATGTCTACTTAGGGCAGGTAATAACCGCAGAGCCTAACCACGAGATTGAGGTAACTAGAAGAATAAGAATGGGGTGGAGCACATTCGGCAAGCACTCTCAAATTATGACAGGTAGATTGCCACTATCCCTCAAGAGGAAGGTATATAACAGCTGTATCTTGCCGGTACTTAGCTACGGAGCAGAAACCTGGAGACTTACAAAGAGGGTTCAGCTCAAATTGAGGACGACGCAGCGAGCAATGGAAAGAAAAATGGTAGGTGTAACCTTAAGAGACAAGAAGAGAGCAGAGTGGATTAGGGAACAAACGGGGGTTAAAGATATCATAGCTGAAATCAAGAAGAAGAAATGGACATGGGCAGGGCATATAGCGCGTAGACAGGATAACCGCTGGTCATTAAGGGTAACTGACTGGATTCCCAGAGAAGGGAAGCGGGTTAGGGGGAGACAGAAAATTAGGTGGGCAGATGAGATTAAGAAGTTTGCGGGTATAAATTGGCAGCAGCAAGCACAGGACCGGGTTAACTGGCAGAACATGGGAGAGGCCTTTGTCCTGCAATGGACGTAGTCAGGCTGATGATGATGATGATGTAAGTAAAATCAGAGTGTGTGTTGGGTAATCGTGGAGTACGGTTGTTGTTCCTTTCTTCGGCGCTTTGCGCCTACCGCGTGTTCGGGCTGGTCGGCGTCCCCGCCGGCCGTGTACGTCTCCGTCTTCTTCTTCTGCTTCGTCGGGACCAGCCAGCCCCCAACACAGCAATAGCGACGAGGACCTGTAAGAACCGGAATGGGGTCGCCATAATAGCCTCTAATGTTAGTAGCGAACGCCAAAATTTCCGATTTTGAAAGCCAAGTACAAAAACCCTTACTCCTACGTAGGTAGCGCCGCCATAGATGACGGGCGTTTTGCGCTCATCCGGCAGGCAAAAAAAATCTAGGAGGCTATTCCCAAAGTCAACCGTAGCAGCCGACAGTAGCCAATCCGCAGCTCGTGCCGCACGGATGAGAACGACGCCGGAGCCGTCTCTTACAAGTGTTGGGTTGTAACTGTACAGGAGTGTAGGAACGTTGTAACTTGTATAAGAAACCTGTCCGTCAACATCAAGCTGTTCTCTGTCGTTTGTATCCGTTTTGCTGTTCCAGCTTTCAGCGTGTAGCGTTCAGTTGCGTAAGTACGTCACTCTATAGTTATTTTGTTTGGCTCGCGCTGTTAGGGTTACTTGCGCCCGTGTTTGCCGTTGAGTCTTGTGTTTGTTTTGCATTGATTTGTCGGCCTGTGTGGCTGCAAGCGTAGAATCGGCCCAGCCATTTTTTTAAAGAGGCAGTGATGTTTGATTTTGCGGTCCATTTCGTTCTTCGGTCCCAGCGTCAACCGCCTCGGCTGTCTATCGGCCGCTGGGAAAGGCCCGCGCTACCCGCCTTTACAGTGAATGGGTACAGTGCACTGCCATCCAAAGAACGGAAAATGAATTGGCATAGTTGGATGTATACGGGAAGCACGAAGCAGCTTCCTCTTTGCTCATGCTGTTTTGTTTTCAAAAACTAAACGGCGTGTTCGTGGAAACGCAGCGGTTTGCCATTGGCGCCGCGTCTTTGTGTTGTTATGATAGCCCGCCCGTGCATTCAAATCATAACCGTCCTTTTATTGGGCACTGCAGCTGCAACAAGTGGCGCTAACTCCCATCCCATTAACGGCGTGCTACCACTTTCGCTCGTTTTGAAATTCTCGTCGCATTTGTGTGCAGGTGCGCGCCATTCGTAGCCTACTACGTCCGTTTAGTCTCATGCCTCAAGGTGTAAATCAACCCAGGCGTCGCGTGGTGCTCTCGCGTACGGGAGATCCAGTGATATCGTAAGTTGTTTGCCCGATAATGCACGATAGGAAGTTTTAGAATACCGTTTGCAAGCGCTGCTGGCGCCATGTGAGTTTTAGAATAGCGTTTGCCCTGCTGCAAACCGCAACGCATGATCGCAGCGACCGTAGCCTCGAAACCAGCGTTTGCGGGCCACATGCGAGCCGTTATCGCCGCACGCCAACGCCTCCTCTATTTAGATACCTGCCGTATGAAAAGTAAAACAGCTGCCACACCCTTTCCCTTCTTCATTTTAGAATGTTGTCGGCCGCTAGCGTCACCTGTGGTGGACGGTGCTACACTTTGCATAGCCTCCGAAATAGCGGTGTACAGTTGATGGTCTCAAACAATTCTCGACTGACGCGCCCCTACGGGCCGCAGGTGAAAAACGCTTAGCTGGTACCACCTATCTCCTTATGTATTAAGATGATGTTATCGTTCTTCCAAGACTCTGGTACTCTTCCCGTCAACAGACACCTCGTAAACAGGGTGGCTAGTTTTTCTAACACGATCTGTCCTCCATCTTTCAGCAGATCTGATGTTACCTGATCCTCACCAGCAGCTTTCTTTGCCTGTGTGCATGCTCTCAAAACCTTTTCTGACTTCTTCTATCATTACTGGTGGGGTGTCATCTGGGTTACTGCTAGTTCTTATAGTATTAAAGTCGTGGTTGTCCCGACTACTGTACAGATCTCTGTAAAATTCCTCCGCTATTTTAACTATCCTATTCATATTAGTAGTTATTTTGCCTTCTTTGTCCCTTAGTGCATACATCCGATTTTTGCCTATCCCATGTTTCCTCTTCACTGCTCTGACGCTTCCTCTGTGTTCAATTCTCTCCATGTTATACAATCAACTTTGAAAGCTCTGCCAGTTCTATTTTGTCTGTTGTACTTGAGACTTTCATGATTTGACGCTTCTTAATGAGATTCTTCATTTCCTGGGAAAGCTTGCCAGTGTCCTGTACAACTACCCTGCCTCCAACTTCCACTGCACACTCTGTAATGATACTCGTCAGATTATCATTCATTGTATCTACGCTAAGGTTGGTTTCCTCACTAAGAGCCGAGTACCTCTTCTGAAACGAGACTCCTAATTCCTGTGCTTTCCCTCTCAGTGCTAGCTCATTGATTGGCTTCTTGCATATCAGTTTCTGTCGTTCTTTCTTCAAGTCTAGGCAAATTCGAGACCGTACTATTCTATAGTCACTGCATCGTACCTTGCCAACCACTTTCACATCCTGCACAATGCCTTGGTGTGCACTCATTATAAAGTCTATTTCGTTCTTATTTTCGCCATTAGGGCTCCTCCATGTCCACTTGCAGTTTACTCGTTTTCGGTAGAAGGTATTCAAAATCCGTAAATGTTCAACAAAAGTAATGTAAAACAACCTCGGAAAAGAGCAGTGCTACGAGATAGGTAATAGTGCACGTCAAGTTGTAAAAGACTATGTCTACTTAGGGCAGGTGATAACTGTGAAGCCAAACCACGAGATTGAAGTAACTAGAAGAATAAGAAAGGGGTGGAGCACATTTGGCAAGCACTCTCAAATTATGACAGGTAGATTGCCAATATCCCTCAAGAGGAAGGTATATAACAGCTGTATCTTGCCGGTTCTTAGCTACGGAGCAGAAACCTGGAAACTTACAAAGAGGGTCCAGCTTGAATGGAGGACGACGCAGCGAGCAATGGAAAGAAAGATGGTAGGTGTAACCTTAAGAGACAAAAAGAGAGCAGAGTGGATTAGGGAACAAACGGGGGTTAAGGATATCATAGTTGAAATCAAGAAGAGGAAATGGACATGGGCCGGGCATATAGCGCGTAGACAGGATAATCGCTGGTCATTGAGGGGAACTAGCTGAATTCCCAGAGAAGGCAAGCGGGTTAGAGGGAGACCGAAGGTTATGTGGGCAGATGAGATTAAGAAGTTTGCGGGTATAAATTGGCAGCAGCAAGCACAGGACCGGGTCAACTGGCGGAACATAGGAGAGGCCTTTGTCCTGCAGTGGACGTAGTCAGGCTGATGATAATGATGATGGTACCGCCCGCCCCCCGTGATGACGGATAGATGGATGGATGTGGCACTACCCTTTAGATAGGGCGGGGGCTAACGCCACCTAGCCAGAATACTTCGTTAACCACTAGATTTATCTTTTTTTTCTTCCTTTAAATAGTGAAGTTGAGATCTGGTACTTTGAAGTGAAAGATTTAATTTTCACTCGTGCATTGACTTTAGCCACCAATCAGATAACCTTCTTCTAGTTAATTATACCCACTTAAAGTCTATTTTGCCATCCCTGTCCCTAAACCCCAGTGCTTCGAAAAACTCTGCGCCATCATCCTGAACTATAGGGTGAAGCCCTTTACAGAGCATTATCAAGTGTTCGGCAGTTTCCTCCTCCTCTACACATGCACTGCATACCGTGTCTACACCTTCGTATTTGGCCCGATATGTCTTGGTTCGCAATACTCCCGTCCTGGCCTCAAACAGTACAGAACTACCCCGAGTATTATCATAGATCCTTTCCTTGGCAATTTCCGGCTTAAAAGTTCAATAGATCTCTAGTGCAGATTTCTTAATCATGCCCATTCTCCACATGTCAGTCTCCGTTTCCTTCTCTTTCTTCTTAACTGATAGCTCTTTTTGGTTTGGCCACCTGCTGTTCTTTAAGTATTTACCAGCCAATTTCCTAGTTCGCTTCCTCCATTTTGTATCGACATTCTTCATGTACAAGTAGCTGAAAACCTTCCTAGCCCAACGCTCCTCCCCCATTTCTCTCAATCGCTTCTCAAATCTTGCTGCTAGCTTCCCTGCCCTCAAATGATGTCCATCCCATATCACCTTGTACTCCCTGATTTGGTGTATTCCCGTGAGCTCCTAAAGCAAGCCTACCTATTCCACGTTGCTTAATTTCTAATCTTGCTTGAACTTCTGATCTCATGCACAAGACTGTATTGCCGAACGTCAGCCCAGGAACCATGACCCCTTTCCATATTCTTCTCACAACATCATACCTACTGTAATTCCACAGTGCCTTATTTTTCATCACTTGCGCATTCCCGTTACCTTTAGTCGTCACGTAAATTTCATGTTCCCTTAGGTACTCGGTCCCATTGCTTATCCATACGCCCAGATATTTGTATTTATCTGTTATCTTTAGCATGATCTCCTATATTCTAAGCTCACTACCTTCATTGTCACTAAAAATCATGACTGTTGATTTTCTCTTACTGAATCTGAAATCTAACCTATCTCCCTCATTACCGCAGATGTCCACCAATCTCTGCAAATCTTCCTTGTTGTTGGCGATTAGCACTATATCATCTGTGTACATTAATGCTGGTAGTGCCTGATCAATGAGTTTTCCTTGTTTGACGAAAGAGAGGTTGAAGCCAAGTCCACTTTCCTCTAATTTGGCCTCTAATCCTTGTAGGTACGTCATGAATAACATCGGTGACAAAGGACACCCCTGCCTAAGCCCCTGTTTCACCTCTGTGGGCTTGGATACCTGTTTTTCCCACTTTATAACTACCTTGTTACTCTTATAGATTTTCTTTAAAAGATTAGTGACTCCATCTTCCAGACCTAATGTGTCCAGTATTCCCCACAAGTCCTCTTGAACCACGTTATCGCATGCTCCCATGATATCCAGAAATGGTAGCCACAGGGACCTTAGTTCCTTTTCTGCTATTTCGATGCACTGTGTCAGTGAGAACTGTGTCACTGTGTCACACTGTGTCACAGTGTCAGTGTCAGCACTGTGCACTGTGTCAGCACTGTGTCAGTGTGTCAGTGTGTTTCCGAAACCCATTCTGCAGTTCTCCCAGCACCCCCTCATCCTCTATCCATGCCTGCAGTCTTTCCTTTATAATCTAAATCGCCAAGCTGTAAACCACTGATGTCACTGTTATAGGACGGTAGTTGCTTTTGTCAGCTTTGTCCCCTTTTTCTTTATAGATCATGCTCATCCTGCTAAGCTTCCATTCATCGGGGACTTCACCATCGATTATTGTTCTGCTTACTGCCTCTCTCAAAGTCTCTTTAGACTTCGCACCCAATGTCTTTATCAGCATAATTGGAATGCCATCTGGGCCTGTTGATGTACTACTTAAAACCCTCTTCTCAGCCCTTTCCCACTCTCGTTGTGAAAATGAAGCCATTGTGCCACTTGATGAGTGCCACTTGATGACTGCCACTTTCTTTGTTGAAATTTTTGTCACCTTTGTTCTTGTATATTCAATAGCTTCGTCCCCTTCTAGCCTAGCACCTTGAGCTGTAGTTATGAACCTGTGCTCTAGGCTTGTTTCATTTCTTAGGGAGTTTCGATGGTTCCGAAATTTCGCAGCTGCCTTTCTGTCCTTTTTATATTCTTCTGCCAGCCACTGAGAACCCTTTCTTCTCTTTGCATTGATCAGGAGGGATGCTTCCCTTCTAGAGCTTAGAAAGATGTCCCATTTTCTGTCGGTCACAAGCGCCAGCGGTGCTTGTTCAAAATTTAAGGCAGGTTAACTCCGCTGGGAGCGCGAGTCATTCCTCGGGCATCTTTCTAGAGGAGGCGTTGCCCACGCAATTTCGGGTTTTCTGCGTGCGGTCCGCGAACGCCGACTCGCGTTACGACGCATGCGCAGTGGCAGCGACCGCTCTGCGCAGTGGAAGCGGATATGGGGACTCGGGCACTTATCAAGAGAATTGAATTTCACTTTTTGCCCGAACATTCCCGCACTTTTGATGATGGAAATTAATTTCAAGTTCAACCAGTGTTACAAGGTGCACTTTCATTGCCTTTCGAGCGTGAGAGCGATCAAAGTTCTAGAATATGGTGTGCCCCCTTTTTCTTCTGAGACATAATAGCCAATCACGTGTTTGTAATTAGCCAGTACCGAGACATTGTAATCAGTGTTTATTTTGAAGTAGCTGGTGAGGACATGGAATTATGGATTTTATATTGCACGACAGTATTGTCATTCTGCACTGTTTTGAGAAAAGCAGCTTAGGGTAGGTTGTTCGCAGTTAAAAAATGTCGACGAAGTCTGGTCGTTACACAATGACCGAGCACTATTTATTGCTTCTGTTATGCGATTTTGCCTCGTCGGGCGTTCGTTTCCCTGCACTCTTAGTTCTTAGAACCATAGGTCTTGCCATCTAGCTCGCCTATCCATTCTTGTCAGTATTAGTATGCTAATGAGGATAACTAGAAGAGAGGTCACAGCCTTGGCATGTGTGAAGTAGGCCTATAAAACTGCCCTCGCTGTATGATCAGTATAACGACTTATAACTGTTCAATCTCCTGCCTATTTGATTGTGTATGAATATAAATTGACACACCTATTGCAAAGTAAAAGTAAGTTGCGATTCATTAACTGATATGACTTGTCTGAGATACTCGCCTGCAAGAGGGCCACGGTTGGTTTTACAGAGGCAACAGTTTCTAAGCAGAAGCAAAGGCTTAATATTTTCTTGTTGAAATTTCCGTACATGAAACGGGTAATATAATGCATTTTATTTAAGCAGCTCTATCACTTTCCTTTCTCGATGTTAGGCAAGGCAGTTTATAGATGGCTTGCACTGATATTACCGAAACCGCCATGTTAGTGCATCACATGGCACACGCAAGCTTTGTGATGTCACGTGTTAATGTTATCGTTACATCACTAGCAAGTTCTTTTGTTATTGACACACAGAGGCCAATGAAACTCTAGTCACACATTCATCATCCTGAAGAGGGTTAAACGGGACATGATTATGCTGGCTTTACGTCATTGAGGCCTCCATGTTAATGAGTCAGTGGCCACTATGACATCACGTGCAAGCCATCTGTTTTCCCACTACTGCAGCCATGTTAGCTTCACTTTGGTAAAAGTCTGATTACGTTTCTTGTGCACTTGAGCAGTCATTGTCATGGCATGCTACCTAAGGGCATTCTTTTTGTTTCTAGTAATCAAGCTTCTTAGTTCACTAGGAGTGCAACTAAGAGCCGAATTGCTTGCACCAAATGTAAGTGAGCCAACCTTTTCTTAGCCAAAGCAACTGCTATGTCACTTTTCGGAATTGAAATATTCATTGTTTGCCCCGGCTGAAGCATATCACTGAATATCCGTACGCACACATGCCCAATGATGCAATATTGCAAAATGCGTTCTCATTCTTTTGAGGTGGTGTAGGCACTGATCTCGCAAGCCAGTATCATGACTTGAGTTGTACGTGCCCCGCGGCGGTGGTCTAGTGGCTAAGGTACTCGGCTGCTGACTCGCAGGTCGCGGGATCGAATCCCGGCTGCATTTCTGATGGAAGACGGAAATGTTGTAGGCCCGTGTGCTCAGATTTGAGTGCACGTTAAAGAACCCCAGGTGGTCTGAATTTCCGGAGCCCCCCCACTATGGCGTCTCTCATAATCACCTGGTGGTTTTGGGACGTTAAACCCCACATATCAGTCAATGACTTGAGTTGTGCAAGGTTTAGATGCTGTAACTGTTTGTGTAATGAAATAAATTGAGTCATTTCGTTATTTCAGTTGTAGAAGAATTGTCCAAGCAAGTATATAGGAAATGTATCTGCCGAGCTTTGAAGACTAATTGCAGCTTGGGAGCACATTATTAGCAGTTGAGGCCTGTTTGATAGCTCAAAGGATTTTAAGAAGGGTTTGATTAGTACGAGTGCTTTTTTAGCTCTACTGTCTCACACATTTTTCTTCTTTTATATTTGTGATTAAAATCATTTTAAAAACTCGTATAGGGTAAGATTGACATCACATTCGGTGTTGTGGTACACCATGCGAATGCCAGGTGCGATTGCTCGCAACAAAAATTGCATCGATTACTTTTTAATAATTTGTATTTTAAAGCAGCTAGATACTTGTTCTATTTAGGATCCTGTCTTACATCTGGATTTATAGTGCTCATTGCAGTATGTTTTATTCAGTATGCCTTTCATATTAATTTGACTTCAGTCTCCTTTGAGATGGAGAGTAGCAGAAGAAACATAAAAATGCTGTATCTGGTTCTTTACTCCTACCCCCTTCAATACTTTTTCTGCAGGATGCCGAACCAAGGCTTTGAAACTCCCGGTCGAGGTGGGTATCAGCCGCGTGGAGTACAACGCACCCGTGCGTCAGCCGGGTTCCGAAGCACGTCGAGGCCTGGCCCTGCTAGAGTTGGTGGCTCTGTGACAGGATTTCGGTCGGCAGGGTTTCGCAACTCTTTCAGGCCAAGGGCACCTTCCGTCGCCCCTCGAGGACCCCCACGGGACCAGTGACATGTCACCGCCCATGCCTACTAGCAGGCTTTCAGGCACTGCCCCTCGCAGGCCCAGCGCGAGCGCCGCTAGCAACCATGGTCCCGACATGGATGAGCGAGAATCGTCATCGCGAAAGCCGGTCACACACTCTGTCAGCGTCTGGACAGTGCAAATCGGAGAGGTGCCCCTCTCTTACTTCTCGCGGGAGAGGTGGAGGGACCAGTGCCGCCCCGAGAAGGGCATGCGGGTCGAAGAGATCGACGAGCCATTCCGCGGCTGCACCCTTCAGGACAGGCATCCCAATGAGCCGAAGGCCACTTACTCCGAGCAGGAGATGCGCAACTTGTGCCCCATCTGCGGCACTCTGGTGATCCACTGGGAAACACACAAGGAGGGAAAGCTGCACCACGAGCGGGCCAAAGTCCGGGAGTCGTACGCTCCCTCTTCCTCTCAAACTGCGGGCCCGACACAACAGGACGTTGTCGCCGCGCTGCGTGTTCTGCAGGCCACGCGGCCCGACATCATTGCGGCCTCCCTCGCTGCCTCCGCGCCCAACTTGCTGATGTCCTTGAAGGGTCCCGAGGTAAATACAATGTCGCCACCACGTTTGAGTGACAGGATGAAGCGAAGTGGCCGTTCCCCGTCGCCGGATAGGAAGCGCCATGCCTCCCGATGGGAACCTGCTGGCCACGATCTTCGCTACGACGATCCTCCTCGCGCTGCTGTCCCCAAGGGTCCAGCTCCGAGGGCCGTTCCCCCGCCAATGTGAGGATCACACTGTTTCTTCTTTCATTCTTCTCATTTCGTTTACAGGATCCGGGGGTATCCTTGCAGCGACCTCGGCGACATCAAAAAGTATCGTCAAACACGAACAGACAGTTTATATACACACAGGGTCTGCATGCTACTTCAAAATGCCACGACTGCCCGCCGGACTGTGCGATTGCGGGTTTTCTTTCCGGCAATGGTCGGCAACGCTAAGAACGGCAACATTGCATCGAAACAGTTTTTGTTCAGCTACTGCGTGGTCCAGCAATTTGATACTTCAGACTGCATCATTGAGCCCTGTTAAGGCCTCCGGTGGGCTGGCACAGTCTCGTGTGTGGAATTTTACTTAAGGGAGGTTCACAGATGACCTCATTATGACCTATGGAAGCCTCACACTTAGCTCTTGCAAACCACTTGCAGCATCCATGAGTGGCATCCTGGGGCTCTTCGAGAATGCCTCCGGTAACTATCCGGGATCGTTGCATGTGGCTTGAATTAGTAACCTGTGCCACTGTGACTTGGTGCATCTGGAATCGTATAAATGAGTATTGCTCAAGTTTGCCAATATGTTTCAATGGTCAGAGTCAGCGATAGCATTTATCTAGCAATGTGGATCTGGTAGCTGAGTGACTGCAAACCACCAAAGGTTGCTGGCGGTGTCAGCGGTAATGATGGTTGTTTTCTGCGCACCTTGTAAATTTACAAGTTTTAAATGGTCTTCCCAGGGTGCCTCTAGTGCAGCGCATGACGCTGCTACAATGGCTCGATAGCCTGCCGCGTCGCACCAGCTTGTTTGTTTTGCTTCATTGAGCTATTTGACCTACACAGTTTTACAAGACTCTGGATTTACAAGTGCTATGGGATAGAAGTCGCTGGGCTCAGCAAATGGACTGGCACTTCTAACACAGGCCATCTGACCAACGCATATGGCCTGACATTGTCACGTGCACTGTCTCTCTATAAATGCGAAGTAAAGGAAGTTCAAGGTGCAGCTGACCAAGAAAGAATACGACACCAATGTTATGCATCCGTAAACTTTGTGTGCAAAAAAATGTTTCTACCAACAACTTGAAATAGAAAGTGATGTTCAGACATGACCTATTTCTTGGGGAAGACAGTTCTACAGAGGAGCAATGCCATCATGAGGTCCACTCATTACTCCTGAAGAAAAGTAAACATGAAGTTTTCCCGAGCAAGAAGAAACCACGTTCAAGCACTTCTCATGTGCATTGGAGACCTGCAAGGGCCGGTAGGGAACAGGGTCAGGTCAATCGTAAGGGAAAGGTACAGCTCATAGCTCATACATAAAAATTGCTTTTCAGTGGACATTGCATTCCGCGACTGCCATGCCAAGGGAGTACTAGAGCCTAGCAGAAGATAGTGCCCTCTCGCTAGCCACACCAAATGTGTTACAAACCATCTGAGCCTCCGTGCTCTGCAAGGATGGTCAGCACATCGATGCAATAGTATGTTCACTGTGAGCAGTTCTACAGCAATGGACACATTAGTCATCTGTCGTGCTTCATCTGCAGGTGGTATTATTCATTATGCTAATTGACATCGAGGGTTTTTTGGAACTGCTTCCATGTTTTCTCATCAGAATGCCATAGGGATGTCCAACATGGGTGAGTGAATTGAAGCTGCATTCAAAATTTGCACTTTGTTGTGCAAATGGACTTTATCTAGTCTATTTGCATTGCAGTGTGGGCTCATGTTTCATATACATTATGAACATCTGTGGAACCATTTTGCTGTCTGGTACACTTTTGGGACAAGGATTATTTTAAGCAGAGAGCCACAAGCATGCTGATCGAATAGGTGCCGGCAGCTTGTGTTATGGTCTGATATTTCTTTCGACGCATTGGCCACAGAAGTCTTGTTTACGGACTACAGGCACTGATGGCTGGATCCTAGCAACCGCTGTCGTTGTTAAAAACATTGCCATCGAGGGACAGCGGGGAGGACCATATTTCAACCAATGAGGCTCGATATGTCGATTCTTATCCGCTACTGCGTTGGTGCTGCTGTCATGTCTCACCGTGAAAAATTGATTCGCTGCTACAAAATGCCAACATGGAGGCCGGCTGAGCGATCTTGGCCATGCAGATTTCAGGGTGGCAATGCCACGCAAAGCTGCCCCTCCATACGTTGGTGAGACATGGGTGTTGTCATGGCCACTTCTCTTCTTCACCTGTCTAGCTGCGCTGCTGTAGCAGGTTTGTCGTTAATGCTTATGGGGGGGCATCTGCATCGGCGAACCTGTTTTGGCTATTGCTCACAGCATAGCTTTATTGACAGATCAGCCTTAGATTCCACTGCATTGTATCTTGCCTATGATTGACCACTCCTCATCAGTGACATGCGACATGCTCCTCAGCGGGTTGCTTGTGGAACCTACTAAATCATCGCTTTGTGATGGCAGTCTTGGGCAATGCCATGTTACCGCTGAACTAAGGAAATCTTTCCCGCTGTAAACCAACGAGAGATGTACACAACATTTCCTGGTCATGCATCCAAGCAGGTGTTGGCCCATACATAAGAAGACTACACTTCTGCATGTCAACAGGACCTACGGACTGAGATAGCACCTCTCACTCTTCGACGCACTGCTGTCAAAGCATATCATGGATTATGGTCTGAAATAGCACCTCTCATTCTTCAACGCACTGCTGTCAAAGCATACTATGGATTGCTGCCCTTCTTCTGCATCAGCGTCAGATGCGGGAGTTGACGTGTTAACTCCTGGTCACCTTTTTTTTTTTTTTTTTGCCATGCTGCTCTCGAGGCGCACCATAAAAGGTGCCACCTTGAAGAGAAGGTTTTTCCAGGATGGACGGAGGTTTTCTTCAGCGGCTTTGGGATGAAGTGGCCGTTGTACCAATGTGGCTGCTCCAAAGGCAGACGTGTTGGTTCAGTGCCTGGATGCAGTTCGATAGCTCGCGTGTGCTATCGTTCGTGCTTTGCCAGCTCTCGAGCTCTATCGAATAGGAGCTTACTGAAATTGCACTTTACGTAAAACTGCCTTTTTTACAGCAGACTTATGCCGTTGGGTGTTTGCATAAACTATCACAATCAAGAGTGGTATAGCGCATACAACGCAATAACTCGGCTGGCACACGTTTCGGCCTCTTCATCTTCAGCGCTTCTGGGGGATGCACGCTCATGTTCCCCCAGTGCACCGGTTTCTTCGGCGTATAGTATAGTATAGTACAGCAAGGTGGCGGGGATAGGAAGTGAAAATGAGTAGAAATATGAGGAAGAAGGAGGATGGGTAAATAAAGCATCACAGAAAGAAACAGGAATAAAAAAACAAGATAAAGGCAGGAATAAAAAGATAAAATAGAAAGAAAGAGGAAGCAAGAAATGGAGGAAGAGCAGAATGAAATTTATATTTAAAGAAAAGGGCAAAAAAGTACGAGAGATACGGTAAGCAAAATGAAAGAGAAGAAAAAGGCCACCCAGCTCCATACTTCGTGGCACCACTGATGCGAAGCTGCCATAATTTTTTTGTGTAGACCGACAAGGTGTAAAGTGTGACTAAGGTACTACTTCTCTGCACCATTTGTCTAGGTTGTGTTGCTTACTTGAAGGCATGCCATCAGTGCTCTATTGTGCTGCTGTTATGTACCATGGGGGACTATCATCATCATGTGTGGCCTCTACCTTTCTTGTGCGTGCAACACAATAACTCAGGCTGGGGCACTGCTTGCTTCGGCCTCTTCATCTGCGTGTCCTGGAGCTGTGTGCTCATGGTCATCCTCATCTGCTCGTCAAGAGAAGTAGAAGTTCAGCGGGCCGCTTGTTTTTACCCTCTTCTCTTGGCCATGGTGTTGTCAAAGCGAATTGCGAAGCACTGCCCTTGTGCACTCCTAAGGCGTAAGGCTCAACTATCTGCCTTGGCTCTGCTTTCTGTCTGTAGAGTAACCCTGTGAAATGCTGTTCTCCTGTACACAGGGAAGGCTTGGTGCTTGACATCATTCATCTATCAGCCAAGACTAGACAGGCTTGTTGAAACGGCTCAGTGACACCTTCTTTTCAAGAATTTTTTCATCTCGGGGTGATTTTCCAGCATTGGCCATGCTGCCATCAAAGCACGTAGCCAAGCGCTGCCGTTCTGGGACTGACAAGGCAGTGTTTGACCTGGTGATTTGTTCACACCATCTGTTGTAGTTGTGCTGCTCTCGGGACGCGAAATGAGAAGACTGCCATCTTAGTGAAGAATACAGAGCGTGCATTCTCGAACGGGAGTTACGAGTCGGCTTCTCCACACAATATGGCTGCCCTACACTACACTAAGACGTAGCCTTTGACATCGTGACTCCTTTGCACTATGAGTCATGTCTGTGCTACGCATAATGTGAACCAGGCAAGATGTTTTTGTTTTTTTTCCCCGACTTAAGAGACTGGACTTCTATTGGTCCCACTGCATTTTTGATGCTGCCGATACCTGGTCTCTTCACAACACTGCAGTATTTGATATGTCTGCTCAGCGATGTTCACCAATGATGGACTATCAAGAGATGGACTATGCTTACTGGCACAGTCCATGTCTTATTGCTACAATAAAGGCATGCTGTGATCACCGAACGGGAGTTAAAAAGCTGACTCCTCCACACAGTATGGCTGCCATTCACTGCACTAGGACATGCCTTTAACATTGTGACTCCTTCGCACTATGCGTCATGTCTGTTTTATGCTAAGGGGGAACGAGGCAGGACCATCAGCGTTGGCAGGATTTTGTCTTGGGGTGTGCAAATCCATCTTTCGTTGCGGCTGAAGCTGAGGTGGGGAACCACTAGTGTAGCTTGGGTGGGCAGGCAAATACTGGTGTAGTTTTAGGGGGCATGTGCCCCTTTTGCACCCCCTCCCCCCCCGGCTTATGCCCATGGACGGAACTTTTTTTTTAACAGGCTTAAGAAACTGGACTAGATCCACTGGTCCCACTATATTTTTGACGCTGCCGGCACCCAGTCTCGTTGCAACACTGCAGAATTCAC